TGCTGTTTCACCCATGACATTAAAGTGGTGCGTTAAACTTATAGATGATGAAAAAATGAAGAATGCTTTTCAATTCGGTCTGGTCAAAAATAAATTAATTTTTGATATAAAAAGTGATTTTAAGTTGAGAATAAAGTTTGTATAACGAAGATAAATTTAAGATTATGATTTATTTACAAAGAAATATCGTTATAAATCTGATACAGCTCATTGTTTCGACGTCTGAGGTGATGGTGTTGCTCAACGTTATTTTACAGAGCCATATAAATTTCGCGTGGATAAGAAATTCAGCCATCGCGTCATAAAGGAGACTTCTTTTGTGCTCTTCTCGCTGTTCTTTTCCAAAATTTGCCACATGGTGAATACCTAGTCCAAGTTCAGAAGGTTGATGCCATGCTATTATGCTATTTATGTGTCTGTCCTTAAGCACTTCTAGTGTTGTCAGTTGTCATCTGACATATCCATTGGATAATTTGACATATTTCACCATAAACGCACTGAGAACGTTTTGATGTGTGTGCTATATTAATTTCAAAAATTCATCTCGACAAAAAATGGAATTAACTCGTGAAGATTTTCGTGCGATTAATTTTCACAATTTTTGATGTGGATAAATAAGACAAGAATGCATCGATGTACTAAAATAATTATACGGCGAGCTAGCAATATATTCTAAAGTATGTTCAGGCAGGCAGCTAATGGAGCAAATAGCCAAGCTTTTTTGACCAAGGTGCTAATTGATACAAATTAATACAAAATTTCAATTCTTAATTCCTTGATTACTGCTTTTTTGAGTGCTAATTAAATGAATGCTCCATGCAACCCTGCTACGTATGTTTAATTTTGACTTCGAGGTATGTTTATTGAACAAACGGCAATTAGCTGTTTGTGTCTGGTCCACTTTACAGCTGATATTCTATCAGGTATGGAAAAATTGAATTGTAAAATTGTAACTAATTTGCGAAAAAACTTTACCCAAAGTAAATAAATGTACCTGAAAAGTAAATATGTATTTTTATATGTTTATTTTAAAGAAAATATGATGATAACCTTTCCCTTCGATATTATATGAACTCCTGGACTCACATCAAAGAGCTTGGCTATGAAAATAATCTCTTCGGGCAGTTCGATACAAAACTATGTTTTACAAAAGGTGGATCGCGTTCCTCCGAATTCTTTCATCTGATATTTTAGAGAGAAATATTATTTGTCTATCTGGCGTAATCAACTACAGTTATGGTACTTTGCCCCTTCACAAAGGACAGATGCTATTGGATGAGCTACCCACACCAGAAAATGCGTTGAAATGTGAGTAAAAATTAGAACTGATTTCCTAAAAAGTTATATGACTACGTTCCAAATTTACCTAATTCACTTTTAAACTAAATAAAGGTACGATTGTACCATCACTGTAGCTAATCGATCAGCTGGTTGCGTGGGAACACCAAAAAGAGGTAGCTCAATTAAAATGTTATTTGACTCAATCAAATTTTTACCTACAGTTTTATGCCGACTCCGAACGGCGATTGCATTGTTATGAGAAGCTGCTTTTCATGTCAGAAATACACTCGGTGGTTTGCCATTGCCTGCCTAGTTGCGACCACTGTTAAGAAAAGACCTTTTTTCAAATTTTTTTAGCGATATTGCTTGAACGCAGGCCCTGCGGAGTGGAAGTGCGCACTGCTTACCTCTACACCACAGCG